AAAAAAAAAAAAAAAAAAGAAAAAAAAAGAAAAAAGGCAGGGGCACATCATTCCTAAAATTTCGGCCTCTACTGCATAAGAATAAAAACAGAGAAATCGCTCCCAGTCTCCTGTCTCACCTGAGTGCCGCTTATTTCAGAGGCGACGATCCACACCTTTAAGATGCCTGTCGCTGACAGTGCTACGACAGTGTCCTCTGAACCAAGAAGAGAAAAGCAATCCAGGTTACAAACACAATGCCTTCTTTCTAAATACTAAGATGGTGCGCTTGAATAAAATTAATGGCTTTGTATTATAGGTTGCACGAAATCGTAATTCTATGGTCATAAAACAGAAGACAGATCTTTGAATCATAGGTTAATAAAAATTGCCAACAATTTAAAATTCAAAAACTTATTTCTAATTAATTGAATTTTTTATTTCTATTCAACAGGTTTTTGATAATTTCAAATGTTTTTCACTACTATGACAATAAAAACCTTTTTTTCTTCAAAATTCACTGATTTCAATTATTCATCATAGGAGGCTACAGTAGCTTTATTTCTTCAAGGCCCTCATTTCCTTCCCTCCCCAGTACCTTACCTGCCTTCCAGACAGTTATTGTACATTACGTCCTCCATATATTGGGATCAAGACAATATAGAGTCGGGGAGGTGTCTATTAAAACAAAATTAGGGCTCAGCGTCTGTAGAGCAGTGGTTACAGTGCCAGCCACATACACCAAGGCCAGTGGGCTCAAAACCAGCCTGGGCCAGCTAAACAACAACGACAACTGCAGCAAAAAATAGCCAGCGTTGCAGTGTTCTGGCCTGTCGTCCCAGCTACTTGGGAGGCCGAGGCAAGAGAATTGCTTAAGCCCAAGAAATTGAGGTTGCTGTGAGCTGTGATGCCACAGGACTCTACCAAGATTGACATAGTTGACACTCTGTCTCAAAAAAAATTTAAAAATCACATTTTTTTTCACTAGTTAGCCAATGAACTATGAATAACTTAACTAACCTATCCTACAGTCAATTTGCTTATTTGGAAGCAAATATAAATGAACAACAGTACCTACTACAGTGGGTTGTTACAAAAATTAAGACACCCCACAGGTATAACACTCAGCATGTGCTAAAGGTTAGTTATTACTGTTATTAAAAGAATTATTGGTTATCTTTAAGTAAATAGTTTATCATCTTGCATAGCTGCCTAGGTAACATAAGGCACTGGAATGCATTGACTATCACATTTCCATCATTCCTGTAAAAAGAAGTTGTTGTAACAACATGTCAATAGACCTACAATTCTCAAATATCCAGACTAGAAAATGGTAAGTGCCGATTAAAATGACATATTTGTAATCTTATAAATCAGTAACATCTAGAATTATAAGGATGATACAATGTTTTCTGTTAGTTACATTTTATTCTGTTCAGACCACAGTTTATATATATATATATATGTGGAGTTAATGTAATATTTCAGCATAGGTAAAGCGCTCAGTCACAAATAAAGATCTTTGTTAAAAGAAGCATTGATCATAACTAATATCAGTGGTGAACATGTCTAATGAGTCTCCCACTCCCTGGAAAATTAAACTGATCTCACCTTCACTGTTAGGATCAGGAATGAAGCACAATATGCATAAAAAAAAAAAACCTCTCTGAGATGGTTCTAATTAAAGAAACCTGCTTGATATTATTTTATCAAACATCTCCCAACATATGTGCCCAGAGTCCTCCTTTTTCACTAACACCTGTTAACAAAGCCCAGAACCAATACTCTGAAGACCAGCAGGTGGGAATCGCAGAGTCCACCCACTCTCTTCCCTTGCTCACTGCTTCCCTTCAGATCTGTGCCACTCCCAGCGAGGCTCTTAAATAATCTCTTAACTAGTTTGCTCTCATCTAAGCCATTCTCAACAATGCCACCAGAGTGATGTTTAAGAATCTAAGTCCCTTCCACCATTCTTACCATCATCTATGTTGGGAGCCAGCAAGCTCCAGCTCATGGGTCAACTCCAGCCCACTGGCTGTTTGTAAAGGCAGTCTTATTAGAACACAGCCAGGCTCACTCACTTACATTTTGTTGATGGCTGCTTTCTGCTATGCTACAATAGCAGAGTTGACCATATGGCCTGCAGAGCCTAAAATATCTCCTATCTGGCTCTTTTTTTTTTTTTTTTTTGAGACAGAGCCTCAAGCTGTCCCCCTGGGTAGAGTGCTGTGGCATCACAGCTCACAGCAACCTCCAACTCCTGGGCTCAAGCGAGTCTCCTGCCTCAGCCTCCCAAGTAGCTGGGACCACAGGCGCCTGCCACAATGCCCGGCTATTTTTTGGTTGCAGCTGTCATTGTTGTTTGGTGGGCCCAGGCTGGATTCGAACCCGCCACCTTAGGTGTATGTGGCTGGCACCTTAGCTACTTGAGCCACAGGCACCAAGCCGAAAACACTTCTTATGCCTCTTAAGCAAGTGGCACAACCAAGCTCTAGAAATATACAGACAAAACTAGTCCCACCATTCCAAACCCCAGGGATCAGATACTCTTCCTCCACTTCAGAAAATCACCCACATGATTTTCTTTAAGACTGCCAAAGCTGGTGATCTACACCGTGAAGCGGGAATAATCTAACACTCTAAATCCAAATTAAATCAAAGACCACTTTATGAGGGAAGAGACAGACCATAAATTATTAGAGCAGTTATTTCTTAAATAAAATATAGCTAAAATTATTAATTATTACTTTATGGTAAATAACGTTATAGTAAATTAAATGTTAAGTCACGGTGCTGAAGTCCCTCAAGTGCACAATCCACTGACCTTGCGTTCGATGGGATCGAATGATACTCATGGAGCTGATCCAGTCCGGGGATATCTTTGATACTAAAGAGTAGAGCACTTCAAGGCTGGTAGCATCTACAACGAGGATTTCAGGGTAATGTCCATGGCACAGAAGCCTTCCTTCTCTCTGACTTCCAACAGAGAATTGGTAGAACTAAATTCATATCAAAAGGAAAGAGATTTTTAAATGTTCTTCCTTACTTTGAGTACTTGACTAATCTGCATTCATCAAGTTATGATGGTATTCGCCTAAATGCACAACCTCTTCAGTAGTAAGTTCAGGTTTTCACGATACAGGGCATAGTATTGTAAGGATATTCACACATACGTATCAAGTTATATTACTATCTTTGAATACTTAACAAAAATCATTCTTCTCATGACATTTTATGCTTATTGTTGAGCTTTTTTGGAGCAGAATTCATGATAATTCTTTTATCCTCCTCCAGCATCTAAAACAAGAATGCTGAGTAAGTTATTAAAACAGCTTAATAAGGCTAAGCACCTGTGGCTCAAGTGGCTAAGGCGCCAGCCACGTACACCCAAGGTAGCAGGTTTGATTCCAGCCCGGGCCCGCCAAACAACAATGACGGCTGCAACCAAAAAAAAAATAGCCGGGCATTGTGGCGGGCGCCTGTGGTCCCAGCTACTTGGGAGGCGGAGGCAGGAGACTCGCTTGAGCCCAGGAGTTGGAGGTTGCTATGAGCTGTGATGCCATGGCACTCTACCCAGGGGGACAGCTTGAGGCTCTGTCTCAAAAAAAAAAAAAAAAACAGCTTAATAAAATTAACTTCACAAATCAAATCAAAAGAGAAGCTCAGGTAGATCACAAAAATAATATGCACTTTAAATGAATGAAGATAGGTGAATACAGGCTTATATTTACTAGTCATGACCAAATAAAATTTAGAAATAAGAAGTGATTGCCATTCAAACAATTATAAACAGGCCCTCAGCTTCCTTACATGTAAAATGATATAATCCTACTTAATTTGTAAGAGTTTGGAAAGGATTAAATGAAACACAATATAAGAAATGCCTATACCGTATTTGCTCAATAAATGTGAGTTCCCTTCCCTTTCATTTCCCATTGAGAACATAACTGATTATAAACTTTACGGTCACTCTGTATAATTTAGTTTTCCCAACTCTCATTATAGCAAACAACAAGTAAATTGGGCTCGGCGCCTGTGGCTCAAGTGGCTAAGGCGCCACCCACATACACCTGAGCTGGTGGGTTCGAATTCAGCCTGGGCCCGCCAAACAACGACGGCTGCAACCAAAAAATAGCTGGGTGTTGTGGCGGGCACCTGTGGTCCCAGCTACTTGGGAGATGGAGGCAAGAGAATCACTTGAGCCCAGGAGTTGGAGGTTGCTGTGAGCTATGATGCCATAGCACTCTACCCAGGGCGACAGCTTGAAGCTCTGGCTCAAAAAAAAAAAAAAAAAAACAAGTAATTGAAGCATAAAGAATGTGACAACTATGAAAAAGTAAGAAAGAATGCCAAGAATATAAGTAAAAACTACAAGTTATTCTACATATTAAGCCAGGTACATGAAATGGCCATTTCTTCTGAAGAGTTAGAAAGTCTTAAAAAATGTACCCAAGTGCTCAGCACCTATAGCTCAGCAGCTAGGGCCCCAAACATATACACCAGGGCTGGCAGCTTCGAACTCAGCTGAGGCCTGCCAAACAACAATGGCAACTACAACAAAAAAATAGCTGGGCATTGTGGTGGGCACCTGAAGCCCCAGCCTCTTGGAAGGCTGAGGCAAGAAAATCGCTTGAGCCCAAGAGTTTGAGGTTCCTATGAGCTGTGATGCCATGGCACTCTACCAAGGGCGACATAGTGAGACCCTGTCTGGAAAAAAAAAAAAAATGTGCCCAAGGACCACATGCATAAGCACCAAGAAGATATGGTCCAAAAAGCAGATCAACGTGTGTACGTCACATATAGAATCACAAAGGCTTTTGCAAGAGAAAAATGTGATTATTCAGGATCAAGCACTTTCCCAAGGAGTAAGGCAGCTCTCACTCAGGCATCCAGGGGAACACCAAACAGCAGTAGCAACAATGGGTGCACCCTACATCAGGGGCACCAATTTTTTTTCTCTGCTCCACATTGGAACAATAAGTGTTGTCTTGGGCCACACATTAAACACACAAATACTGATGAAAGCTGATTAGCCAAAAAAAAAAAAAAAGGTCCCTGCATACTTTTCATGATAACCCACAGACAAGCAAAATAGTCCTCACAAAGTCAGCCCGCAGGTGGGACCCCCGCCCTGCGTCTCTACCCTCCGGTCTCCTCTTCCTTCTTACCTTCCAACTGTACATCTTAAGAGGAATACTGTCAACACTCCATTCCAACTCTTCCTGTCCTAGTACCGCTCCCCACCATTTTCCATATGGAAATATTGGGTCAATGCTTTAAAAATATTTTTAATTGTACAGTAGCAATAATTTGTGCTTCTTCACAGAAGTAGATACTAACCTGTATGCCAGTATGTGTGCAAGCTAATTTTGTAAATTCAATACATCTGCCATCATTAACATCCCAGAGGCACATCTCTCTATAAAACAAAATCATAGCCAATTTTGAAACTGATTTTTTGAAGGTACTGTTCAACTTCGTCACAATGGCACAAAACTAACCTTCCGTTAAAACGTTATTTCATTAAGAGTGGTATCCGTGCATACAATCATTATTGCTGGTCATCAAACTGTCCAGTGCTTTCATCCGCCGTCAAACCCTGATCCAACCTCCCCTCCTCCCACCCTTACCCACATCCTTCCCAGGCCCATAGTAGGACTGCCCTTCCTGGCTCCTTTAAGGGTGGTGTGGTCTTCTAAGCAGTTCTGAGCGGAGGCAAGGCCCTCCACAACGCTCTCCCCTGCCTCTATTCCAGAGAGTCGCTCCTTCAGACAGTGGGTGCTCCCCTCCCCCTGATCTCCAAAGTAAGGATAACAATGAAGCAGAGTGAAGTCCCCAAGTGACACCTGAGAAGCAAGTGATGAATATAAGGAACAAACTTTTAATTTAGACCTCTGAGATGTGACAAAGTAGCTAGAAAAATTAGCACTGAAAAAAGCAAATAAAAGTTAAAGTTAATTGAATTCTAAACTTTTACAGATTAAATACAATATTCTAGTTTTGGTTCTATATTTATTGCAATTTTATTTAATTTGTACCAAAAATCATATATAACAAACTAAAGACAGAACATTAAAAATGAGAAACGTCAACAAGCCTTGTCTTTTGAAGAAACAGGATTTACTTGAAAGAAGAAAACATTAATAAAATGTAATGATCCTGACATTATTTGAATTTTCTTTAAGATAGCATTTTCCTATATTTCATAACATATACAACAATTTTTTAAGGAACATTCTATTTAGAATACACATTCTAATTTAAGGAATTATCCTTTAATTGACCAAAAGGTACTACATTTTTACCTGATGCTACCTTTTCTTTTTTTTTATTTTTTTCCAGTTTTTGGCCGGGGCTGGGTTTGAACCTGCCACCTCTGGCATATGGGGCTGGCGCCCTCCTCCCTTGAGCCACAGGCACCGCCCCTACCTTTTCTTGTTCTAAAGAATGACACAAAATTCTCTTTGAGGGGGAGAACCACTTCTAACATAATTCTCTTGAAGTGCCCCAATTCTCTTCAATAGCATATTATATAAATGTACAATTTTCTGAGCACCAAAATGTTTTTAAAATTCCTCACATTCTCCCCCTACAACTACCGTTCAATGACCTACCTCTCTAAAGCAAGCAACATTTCCAGACTTAGGAACACAGCCAGATATGTTAGTGTACTACACGCAACAATATAACTGTATGGACTTCTGCCTGGCTTCATCTTCCAAATTGATACTAGCCTAGCATCATTCAGGTTTTCAAAGAAAGCTCAAAGTGGTGCCAACTCAAGAAAAATACCAGGGACATTAATGATCATGCTTTAACTTTTACAGTATTCTGAGTTCCTCAAAAAGAAGGCAAAATAAATTATAATGAAAATATTATAAAACCATTAACAGGTAAAATTTACATCCTTAAAACTAGATTTCAAATATCTTCCTTTAGGTTTAGACAACAAAAAGCATTTATTTAGAAGATACTCTAAAAGAAATACATATATACAAATATATACACCCCTATTTACAATACACTGATACTAGAGGTGTAGGTGGAAAAAAATACATAAGAAAACTTACCCACTCTCAGATGCACTCACAATATACTGTTTGTCACTAGAAGCACAAGCTTTAGATAAACAAGTGATTGAAGCTGTGTGACCAAATAACAGTGCGCGAGGATTAACCTGGAAATGCAAAAATAGGTTGGTGTAAGAACCAAATTGAAAGCCGACCTTTCAGTCAGATATCTTGTTAAACAGTCAGTATAAATCTACAGAAACAAATTTGAAAAGAATTGCTCAGAACACTCAAAACTAAGAACAAAAACTAGGAGCAGCGAAACAGGGAACACTAATCCATTTAAGGCTCACAATCAACCTACCAGGTAGTTCTAAGGTTGAAATGGAAGCAAGATTTGACATTCCTTAGCCGGTAACACACAGAGACGAAGTCAGGATTCAAACCAAGGCAAACTTCAGCGCTAAACTCTAGTATACTGGGAAACCAGTTATGAATTTGATTTAGTTTATAAAACACAGTAATAGGGCCTCACTTCTTTTTAAATGATAATTTCATTGATCAGAGAGCAATTTTAGAGTCTCTGGATTCACATTTTGAAACTCAGAAAACAGAATATGGTATGTTTCCACAAGGCTGTCAATATTAACTGTCAGGAACTAATAACCTTCACAGATCCCTTAATTAGTGACAGGGCCAAACAGAAAGGATGGCTTAAAATACTATTCAAAAACAACATGGCACCAAACAGCCCCTAAACTTAGCTACTCTGTACCATGTGACACGCTGTTATTGCACGTTCCTTGAATATATGATATATTTTTTAAATAAGTGTTTAATATATGCAAATAATATTTATAACATATATAAGATATAAGGAATAAATTGGATAGCCACATCCCCAACACACAGTTTAGAAACAGAAAATGACCACTATCTTTAAATCCCCTCTGTACCCTTTATGGCGTCCACCTCACAAACAACTTGTCCTAAAAGATTCGGAAAGCTAACTTGTTCAAAATTAAATATTCTATGGGAAGAGTACTGAGACTGTTCTGTGATTCTGTTATGAGATAACCCAAAAAAATTTCCAAACAAATTTTTCTTGTCCATCTTTTGCAAACTCGATCATCGTTTATGGTTGGAATAGACCTAGAAAGTTTTCCTACACATCCAAAATTTTCTCATACATCCAATCCAGTTTTCTTCCACTGGAAAAAATATTCTTGGCCAATTCTTTAATTTCCCCCAGAAAAACAAAATTTACCAGTAGTTTGTTTTATTTCCAATGTACATAACTCTGCTGGAAAATTCCATTTTTGATCATAATAGGATAAATATCAACAATGAATAATTATAAAACAAAGTATATGGTTCTGCCAACCATTGTTAGATGAAGGAAAAAGACTCTGCCTCTGAAGAAACTATACTCTGCCTCTGACTATATTTTCATAAGTACAAAGTCAACCAAAACCAGGAAAGTTTAACCTAATATTTTTGTAAATATAAGAATTTCATGAATATGAAAAGACAGCTTTTTGGTGTTTTGACTTTGTGTTTTGTGAACAAAAAAATCATTAGACAGTAGTTTTCTGTGGCATTACAAAGAAATGATTCTTAAAAATTGTTCTGAATGACCACTAAATGGCCAAAGAATAATAATCATGATAAAGAGCTAAAAATACACATCTGTGCCTACTGTCAATGCGAGATCACACCTCTAAAATGTTAACATCAATAAACTCCCAGAGAAAAATGAATGTTAATTTAATGAGGGGGGGGATGTGAGATATATTAGACCTGTTATTTTTACTCCGCCATAGTCCATAAATATTTAAGTCATTGTTAATAACAAAACAATAATCAATACAGAGATATATTATAAAATAATTTCTTTGACCAACTCATAAAGATCATCCATCCATTCTCAAAGACCACACAGGTCAAAGGCAAGAGTTATGAGTTAACCAAGCAATCACTGGGCAAAGCGAGAATTTTAAAAGCTGTGTGTGTCATTTCTTAAGAGTAAACTGGGCGAGGTGCGGTGGCTCACGCCTGTAATCCTAGCAGTTTGAGAGCCCAAGGTGGGAGCACAGTTTGAGGCCAGGAGTTCAAGAGCAGCCTGAACAACATATCAAGACCCTGTCTCTATAAAAAACAGAAAAACTGGCCAGGTACAGTGTAGGTGCCTGTAGTTCCAGCTACTTGGGAGACTGAGGAGGGAGAAGGACAGCCAGAAGTTTGAGGTTGCAGCCAGCTATGATGACGTCACTGGCACGCTAGCCCTCTGTCTCCAAAAAAAAAAAAAAAAGGAACTGTAAACTGTAACACGAATATTCTAATCTTGGATCTTGGATTTGTGGCTTGTCAGCCATCAATCAGCATGCCTCTTTTCTTGTGCCCCTTGTTTTTTTCCTACTATCTGAGATGCTATAATTATCATTCATTAAGTAAATTGTTACTATGTATAAGTATTGTTATAACTGCTTCATTCCTTCAATGAATTCTTAGCCATGATCTTGGATGGCCAATGTTAAACATAGGCATGAAAGAATTAAGTTTCAGGCACAAAAGAGTTAAGTAAACTCCCCAAAGTCACAAAGCTACATTTGTCTGCCTCCAACAGCTGAGCTCTTACCATAAGATTTCACTTCCTTCATCAAATGCCACAGACTGTACTGTTCTCTCCATAAACCAGCTTCTCTATCAAATGAAACCTTCATAAAGATAGGAACCAGTCTCACAAATATTCCGTAGCTTTACAGGTAGTAGGAACTTAACAAATAACTACATCTGAGAAACAATACCTACATCTCCAGTCCCCTCACCACCTCTCTAAGCAGTCACACTATTACTGCCTCTGCAGTCTCCCTCAGACATTTCCTTGCCACCATGGGTTTGGGCCAAGCTTCTGCCCTTTTTCACACATGAAAGGAGACCAAGATACAGACGGCAAAGTTCTACAGCTAGCTACAGTTGTGAATCTTTTCCTAGGGGGAAAAAAAAGGGAAAATAACTACAGACTCAAAAGAAGGAATGCTGTGCCACCCTCTCTAAATGTGACATTTCTTCTTCTTGGCCCTTGAGTGGCATAATGAGCTGCTAAAACTATAATACCTAAAAAGACCCTCCATATGCATCAAAGGCAGTAACTTTTTTAGCTCTGTTTTCTTCTGGGTCAAATTGCTTTAATATCTTTCAAAAGATCTATTTATCTCCTAACTCCACCC